CACAACTTTTCGACCACACATTTCAAAAACTTCTATCACAATCTACTAAAAATCTAATTTTAATCTCTACCAAACACCCTCAATTTTAATCTGAGAGGAAGTTGATGGAAATTTGTTTTGGTAGGTGGAAAATGAAAAATGTCTACTTTTTAGAACTTAACGATAAATGTTCATAATGACATGTGAAAAGTCTTAAGTTTCCATTTTTGGCAGAATTGTTAACCTATATTATTGGGCGACTTGGAAATCATCTACGATGGAGGTAGGGACACTATCGTGCATTCGAGATTCCATATATCGTAGAGGCAGATGTAGTGCACGTAGTGCAAGGTCGTAGCTTCTGTGAGAAGTTGTTGAAACTTAAATTTTATAAAACTAAAAAAAACCTAATTGCGTAATTGTCAGAACCTCCACGTCAAATTATTAAGAAAATTAATAATGCAAAACATACCTTAATTTTTTGAAAATGATTCTTTAATATCGGATTTTGATTCCGAATCTTGAATCTTGATTATGGCTCTTTTGGTTCTTGAGTTCATGATCTTGATTTTTTATTGTAGGTTTTGAATCTTTATCTTGTATTCTTGTGTTGATGAGATTACACAAAGAATGGGAATCACATATGAATTGATGATCATAACCCTATTTATAGTTTCCATATGTATTTGACACCCTATTTATAGTTTCCATATGTATTTGACATATCGTCAAATACAATCCTAATGGATTCGATCTCTACACATATAATCCAACACACACTTTATTTAGATGCGTAAGCCCAACAATTTAATTTTTATTAGACCACTTTAATTGAACTCAACTTCAAGATATCCTTATACACAATTAATTATATATGACAAATTAATAAACCCAATAGTTGTCACTACACTTTAAAATCTCAGTCTATAAACCATAAAGAATATCCATCCTCTTTGCGCCACAAAATGCACTCTCGCGTCCAATTGTAGTATTCTTCATCTTGCACTTTGGCTGAACAAAACTCACTAGTAGTGAATCGAAAGTTGTAGCAATAGTTCAATATTAAACCGCATGTTTTTTCGGAACATTGCTTTGCTATCAAGGGGTTGTTACTAGAAAAAAGCTTGATAATTCATTAAACTAGTCTATTTTAATCTCCCAACTTGCAACAACCAATTGTTAAAGTATCAATCCCAAAAAGTCCATGCAAACCAATTGTTAAAGTATCAATTGTTCTAGGAAGTAATCACATTAGAAATAACTAATGTTTGATATGAATACCTATATATTAAGATATATACCCATATAATAGGGTATGACCATACTTACTCGCGAACATCTATATCCACAGTAAAAAAAAAAAAAATCAGCTGCTTACGGGAATGCTGATTGATTTCACTCTAATGATGGATGGGTAACAATTTGAATAGATGAGTGAACAATCAACCTGTTTTCGTTTATTTAGCATTTAGTAACATAAAGATAAGTTCATTGACCATATTTGTATAAGAATTTTGTCATTTGTACATCATTTTTTAATATCTTTGTTGATAGACGGCGTGTTAGGCAAAATTCCATAGACTGCAAAAATAATTTTTTATTTAAACCGTCTAATGATAGAATGTCACGTGACATTATGTCAACAAATGTGTATACGAAAATGTACACAAAGCATTATTGTTCGTATAATTAACTTGACAATAATAAAACGTTGTCAATGTGCCACATACAATTTTCATTCGGGGCATGTGACAAATTTTTATTAAATTAAATATGAGTAACAAATTTCACTCCAGCGATGGATGAGTAGCCATTTTAAATAGATGAATAAGTAACGGGTAATCTTTTTTTTGTTCAGTAAACAAATAGTAACCTATAGATAAGTTTAATGACCACTCATTTAATTAACCTTTTTTCCTCCTTTGTCCATCTTTTACCTTTTTTTTTTCGTCGGGCAAAGGTAGATTTACTCAATTTCCAATCAAATTTTAATTATTTCTATTTTAAATTTTGTTTTTCTACTGGAACAAGGTCAATTAGATTTTCTTTTAAATATTATATCAAAAAATATGTTTAACTTGTAAAAGAACCACCTTTTTCTCATTTTTTTAGACGCTATCTAGATTTGAACAGTTCCAATATTTTTTTTTTGTTTTTTTTCTTAACCTGGTTGAGGAATAAGGTCCTTAAACGTGTCTTTATTATTATTATTATTATTATTATTATTATTATTATTTTGCTACTAAGCAAAAATTATCTTTTGAGTTTTGATTTTTTTAATCAAAAAAGGTCTTTGAAACTTATAATATATAGCCCCCGTTTGATGAAAATTAAAATAAAGTGTTTAGTAAGTTTTGATAGAAGTTGGTGAAATGTGTTATTGAAAGTTGTGGCTCACATGAAATATGTGATTAAAATTAATTGTTAACTTTAACTTAGATTAAAATCTAAATTTTAATTCCCACCGAACAAGGAGATGATGTATATTTGATTTTTTGGAGTATATATATATATTTTTTGCATATTAAATAAAAAAAAATTGAAAAATGGGTTCTCTATCTTTCTCGAATGACATCTCTCAATCTCTACTCAACAACATAAGAAAGTAGCTCAAGATTTATTAAGTGGTTGAAGGAGATGAATTTCACTGTTGATATTGTTTCCAAAACATTATAATACTTCTTATTTCATTTTCGTCCTCTTATTCAAGTTGAGCATTGAATACTCGAACATTGTGTAAAATATTTGTGTTAGCGTCATATTCAAATATCTTGTCATGTCAATTCAGAAAGTTGACACTCGTATGTTAATTAAGGAGCCCTTGAGAAGTGACACTAGAGTAAAAGAATAGAAAAAGATAAAAATTGTAAATGTCCGATTTGTTGTCATTTGTGTCAATTTTCATTTAAAATAAGAAAAAGAGCTCGAAAATATTCAACTTTTGGCCAATAAAATATTATCATACAAAATAATTTCTAATTATCACAGCCACCATCAATTTATTCTAAGTTAGCTCACAACTATTAATTAAATTCCAAATATTGCAACATGATAATTATTAAGTTGTGGAGTCTAATTATTGTCACTTTGAGTCCTTGTAAATTTTGATTTTCCCTTATTCGTGTTATAAATATGAAGATGTCATTACACTTTCGATAACCATCATAAAAGAGCGAGAGAGAAGTTAGAGAAAAGTGTGCAATTGTCACTCGCAAATTTCTTTACATCATAGTAAATTACTTCTGCGACAAAATAGGACGTAGTCTCAAATTGAGGCGAACCTTTATATATCTTTATTTCTTTGTACTTATTAATTGCTTTTGATAGAACCTAATAATGATTTATACTTCTCAACAATAGCAGTCCATAAATGTATCTTTCACCAATACAATTTATAGATGTTGACTGACAAACAATTAAGAAGCAATTACATAAATCTATATCACCATTAATTTATTCTTAATATAAAGATTGTAGAGCATACATGCACTTTATTACATCAGAACCCCAAATAGGCATATATACTTTGATTATAACTATAAATGGACGCCATTAATTTTTTTCCCTTCCTAGAACTGTGATTTAAGATATTTAATCACATTGTTGTCACCCTGGAATGCCTTTGTAAGAACATCACGAGAAATTGGAGGATCTGATCCAAAAACAGCATTTGCAACGGTTATGA